TCCTTGTAGGTGCGTTAGTGGCCGGGTCCGGTCCCGTCCGGACCCGGCCCGCCCCTACGCTCCCGACCGATTTTGCTGGGGGGCGGAGGGGTTTAATTCCCCTCCGCCCCTCCCGGTCAGGAGCCTCCTGGCACTGGGAGGGGGGTGGGCGGCCTAAGAGCCCGCCCTTGCAAGCCGGCCGCCCTGCCCCCCTTCCGGAGGCGCCTGGTCTGACTTCTTGTTACGGGGGGGGGAGTAGCGCCCCGCTGCGCGTCTCCCCCGCCCAACCCGGCGCCTCCTATCTCCCCCTCGCCGGGCCCTCCGTTGATCAGGAGGGCCCGGCGGCATTGTTGGGGGCTGCGGCGCACGCGCGGGTACCCCGGGGGAGGGAACGCCAGCGGTGGCGTCCCCTCCCCGCCCGCGAATGTGCCTCCCCTCCACCCCGCGCTGATGCGCGGGCAGGCAAGGCGCCGCTCTCCTTCTACGGCGCCTCGCCCCTTCTCCGGGTGCGGCGGCTTCGCCCCGCCGCACCCTCTCCGCCTCCTCCTTCTGCGACACGACTGCGTCGCAGAAGGAGGTGACGGCAGACCAGCCCTCGTCTCCCCCAAGCATGGCCCTTATAAGGGGGAGAGAGGTCCGCTCCCACCACGTCTGTCAGGACTCGGCGCTCCACAACCCAGGAGGGGCATTCCTCCAGGGTGTGTTGCGCCGAGTCCACCTCATCGCCACAGTGGTGGCAGCGGGAGTTAGGCTCCCTACCTATCCTGTGCAGGTACCCACCGAAGCATCCATGTCCGGTGAGTACCTGCGTTGTCCGGAAGGACAGCTCTCCGCGGGCCCTGTCTACCCATTCTTGTAGACAGGGCCGGTGGCCTCGGCGACCCTCGATCCCGATTGGCCCGTCGCCTCCTCCAGGTGGATGCTCCACCTAAAGAGGAGGCGTTGACGGGCCTGCAATTTCGCCATGCCAATGGCCCTGGCCAGGTGTTCGTGGTCTCCCCCGGCACGGAGCTCCTTAACACGCCGATAGGTCTCGGCGTGCATTTGTGCGAGGAGCTCCAGCGGGGGGAGACCGGCCAGGGCCGTGGCGGCCATATGGGACGTCGTCCTATAGGCCCGGGCGAGGCGAATGGCGACCCACCGCTGAGCGCGGTGTCCCAGCGCAGTGATGCGCCGGTTGGTCGCCATCGCACTCGCCCAGACCGGGGCCCCGTACAGGGCCATGGACTGGACGACGCCGGCATACAGCCGCCGTGCCTTCCTCTTAGGGCCGCCGAGATTGGGCAGGAGGCCACCTAACATGTTGGCCACCC